CAATAGAAGAAAAAGACAAGGCAATAGAAGAAAAAGACAAGGCAATAGAAGAAAAAGACAAGACAATCGAAGAAAAAGACAAGGTTATTGAACAACAAGCAAACGACAAAATTCAAGATGAAGCTAAAATAAAATTACTTGAAGATGAAATCAAATTAATTAAAACAAAATTAAACATTATAGATTATGGGAAGATTTGGAAATTAGCTATGTTATTATTTGGATTACCAACGTTGATTCTTATATATCGTGGTAAATGAAAAAACAATTCTTTTACTGACTCTTCAATTGTTCTGTCATTTATTTCTTATTGTACTCATTGTTTTGTTCATTTATTGTTAATTGAATTACGTCAAATAAAAATAAATGTTGTAATGTGTATTGATATCAGTACATTATATTTTACAGTTGTCAACAATACTAATACTAAAAAAAAGTCTCAATATAAAATAGGCATCCGTTCTCTTTGAGAGATACATTGATTGAAGTTTAGTAGCATTATAATCCAATGTAGATATATCAATTGATAGTGTAGAAGGATCGCTCAAACAAATTCGCATTAAGTACAATAACAAATGAACTAGATGAATCAATAATTTTAGTATCTATAAGATATGAATTAAAGTCTTGATCATTCTCAATCGTATAAATTGGACCACAATTGCCTCTTACAGTTGATTGACAACCAATTTCATGTGTACCATTGAGATATCGAACAGAATAATATGCATGATCAAATGTATATATTATTTGATCAACAACATGTTTTGGTTGCGAACTAAACAAATAAAATCTATAAAAAAAAACAAGACAAATAACGAATGTATCATGATCCAAACAAAAAGTCAAAACTTGAGGTGAATATATCAATTTACTATCCTCTTTGTTTTGGTTTCATTAGATACTGAGACAAAAAAAAACACAAATGCCTTTTACTGGTCATTCATATCAATAAAAACAATGAGCACGACAATAGCTGAGATTCTACTTACGAGGGAACATATGCAAGTGTAAAATCGCTTGTGAGTCAGAAGTGAGCACATCATGCAGGTCTTAGTGAGCTATGAATGCTCTGAAAAAATTTTGGGCTGTTGGTTTATTACTGTCGAGATATTACATTTTTACAGTATTCTTTTTATCACAATGCCGTGGTCCCCCTCAGGACCTTCAAAAAAACTAAGTTTCGAATTTTGGCCTGAAACTTTGCACAGAGATAGACTATAACGAGAATAGTTTATTGTGAAAATTTTAGATTTTTTGATTCCTTCTATTCTGAACTAAGAACGTCAGAATATGTCGGTGTATATTGGGAAGTAAAAACGTGCTTTTACCGTAGTCCTGTCTTAGGATAGCAAAAATAAAATGATCTGAAACTTTTACAGTAAACTCTTCTTATTATGATCTATTTCTGCGCAAAGCTTCAAATCGAAATTCGAAACTTAGTTTTTTGAGGATCCTGATGGGGGCCCACGGCATTCTGATAAAAAATGTTGTAAAAATACACTATCATGACAGTAGTAAACCAATATCCCGAACTTTTTTCCGAATATTCATAATTCACTAAGACCTACATGACGAACATACTTCTGACTCAAAAGCGATTTTACACTTGCATACGCATCCTCGTTAGTATAACCATATACACCAAAATGCAAAGCTTTGTCTTGAAATGTATTTGAAAAAACGAAGAAAAATATTATGTGACACCAACTGTTCATTTAGTTGGTTTTCGACCAAACTAAATTATAAATAAAAGAAGATTATAATTTAAGAAGAAAATGATTCGTACTTAAATATCGACAAGTTTATCATGAAATCGGTTTATTATTAGAGCTCCTACATTAATCATTCAGATGGAATAATGGAATAAAATATTAAAGACAAACCTTTGTTCATTGTGGCTAAATCATGTTTCTTCTTCATAAACAATTTGTTCAACAAGACAAACAATGTATCAGCACCGAACATGTTCAATAGCTAACAGAGTAAATAAAATTCAATACGAAATATTCTCCATAATAAAATCATACTCTATTATCTTGATATGCTTCTAAAAGCTCATTCATTGTTATTTCTCGTTCATTAACAGTTAAATCTTTCTAAAAATAAAAAAAACAAAGAATTATTTTATAGATGAGTTAATCAAATTTTACTCGTCTACGTCCAAGATCTAAAATACTTTGACGAGTAATACCACATAAAAAGTCCATTCAAAGGTGATATAACTAATTAGTATAGTTCTAATGCGATAGATGATTTTCGATAAGATTCCAGAAATTTATGGTCTGAAAACCAATTAATTGTAAAAAACACTAAATATGCATAATTCTCGTGCTTTTTTTGGTTTCTATGTCTAAACTGTATATATCCTGAAAATCAAATATCTTGATCTACGCACCCCATAAGCGAGTCATATTTTAAATTTGTTAGTTTGGCAGTGAGACCTTTAATTTGACCCGAATATGTCCAATGTTCTTGAGTTACAGCACACACACCTCCACTGTTAGGTCATAAAAGTTTTACTATGGAATCATCGAACTTTAAGAAAATGACAATTTTTTTTCTTCAGAAAGTATTATGTCAATAACATTGTAGAATAAATATTTCATAATGATAAGCATTTTTTCTTTGAATTAGATATAATTTTCTTACGTGAAGAATACAAACTGCTGATAATAACATTTGAACACTTCTTTTATCAAGAACAATTCTTGAAGTATACTAATACTCAATTTATAATTCCATGGCATATTCATCAATATCATGAATAATTGTTTCTGTTTGTCGACTTTCAGCTAATTCATTAATAAACATTGCTTTAAAATAAAGACTAGATGCTAAACAAAAGAAAAAGGAGGATGTGAAGTTCATTTCTAATTAAATATTTTTATTGTACTAGAAAGAACAGTTTGATGAGGAGAAGCTTTATTTTGATCAACAATCAAAATGACATCATATAATTCTTTTTGTTTTCTCAATGAACCGGACTTCGTAATCATTCTATATTTTTGAAAATAGTTCTATAATGTCATCTGTTTTAGAAATTTATTCTATATTCGATAAAAGAGAAGAATGATTATTCATGTATAATTGGGTCCCTCAACAGCGTTACAAATTGAAGCTCCTAGTAATAAATCGATATTTTTCAGTCCATTATCTTATTTATTGTCACGATTCATTCTTTTTTTGGAGACTTTTTATGAATATGACTGATCTGGGGAAGAATTCATATTGAATTTTCTATTTTATTATGTTATTAATTATCATTGTCAAGTTTAACGCTTCTCTTTTAGAATGTATGCATCACAAGTCAGTAATTTGCATCACAATTATCTTAAAAATATAAAGTCAAAATATATTCGTGCAAATGTAACCGTCGTATTTCGAAACTTGAAAGCTATAAAACGTTACTCGAGTCTTAGTGAGTGGTTTCATTCACTAAACCATAAACTCTGCAAAAGAGAATTTTAACAGGCTTAGTTATTTTTAGAGATAGAGCCGAAAGCTATGAAGAAAGTAGATATTTTTGTCTCTTAGCTGCTCGTATCTCACGTAACAACTATGAAAGGACAGTGCTTAGAAGACACATCATAGTAGTTGCGTTAGCTACATTTATTATTTATAATATTATTGTTTCTAAATAGCCAATTTCCATTATCGATAACAAACCAAATAATCACACTATTGCGTTGCTTTGATTAGACTTTTTTTTTCAACTGAATAATTGAGACATTGTAGTGTATCAAGTAAGATTTATTATAAACATTCAACAACTGAAAGTTGAGCATACGCACGCACATCAGAACTCACATGCTTGGTTTTGTTAGGATATTATCTAGTTTAAGTTAATAAGAAAATAAAAAATGGTTTGTCAAACAACAAGAAAAAAAAAGAACAGAAAAAAATAATTAAAGCAACAATCTCTATTGATGGAAAAAAGATATCTTCTTCTATCATGATTGTTCATATTTATATGTATGATGATTATGAAGCTCTTACATGTCTCATAACAATAATAAAAAAAAGATAATCCAAATCGAATAAAGAACAATAACCAACTTGTTTTCTTCTTCATTAAGTTTCCTATTTTGTGTTTGTTTTATAGTTGTTTTCACACATGTATTACTAAGTTCCTGTCATTGAATCGAACGCAAACATCACTTAATCTTAACTTTTCGAATAAAAAAAAGTTTTATTCTTTGTTTTTAAACAAGTTGAACTTGTCCTCATATGGAATTTCTCTCATAATATGAGACATATATTGTGCAGGATTTTACGCGTCACTATAATTTTCCTTGAATCTTTAAAAAATAATTTTCTAAACAAAAGAGTTTGTTCTATATATTTGGGAAGGATCGCAACGAAGTTTATGTGTTCTATACATTCTCTTCATTTAATTTATTTCGAAAATATTTTGATAATTGAATAAATAAATATTCATTTTCTTATTTCATTGAAAATAAAAAGCCTCTTGTGACTAACAGAATTAGTCGTTATATTCAACGTTAACTGCCAATGTAATCGATTGTAGCGACATTTCTTAAATATTTCCAAATATTATTAAAATCGAATATATTTTTTATGAAAATTTCTTCTTTTAAAAATTTCAACTGAATTTATTATTAAAAAAGAATATGATATGAATACAAGGTTTTATTGGATAATTTGATTGGTCCATGTTGTCAATTCCAACAAATGTTCTTTCATTTGAGACTAGACCATATAGTTTGTTTTCTTTTTTTTCTTGAGTTGGATCTTAATCTAAAAAAAGTTCTATTTAGATCTTTTTGTATAAACTGTGATTAGCAAAAGCAATGCTTGCATCATTCCGAAAACAGGATAAAAAGGATGAAGAATCAGGAACAAGTGGAAATCCATATAAGAATCTTGAAAAGGCATCTGTTCTTCAAGAAGTAAATAATCAAACTTAGTTTTTCTTTTTTGTTTTTGAATTTAAATAATCTATTTGAAATAGGCTCGTACATTTAATGAAACTCCCGTAAATGCACGAAAATGTATTCAAATATTAACAAAAATTATTTATATGATTAATCAAGTAAGAATAAATAAATGGTTATTGTTTGACTAAAGACTTACCTCACACTGTTATTTGTAGCCAGATATGGTAAAAAAAAAAGCATTTCGATCTTTTTTTTTGTCTGTTAACGGTGAAAAGTGAATCATTTTGGGAAAATTTGTTCCTTATTGTTTAGATTATTTGTTTTTTATTTTTGAAATAAATAAATTTAAATATTTTTATTTTTAAAGGGAGAACAATTAGGTCAAACGGAAGCAACAGAAACATTTTTTGCTATGACAAAATTATTTCAATCAAAAGATGTAAGTTTATTTAAAAAGACATTAATTATTCTTCTCTTGAAGAATATTGAATTTTTTTTCTGAAGATTATTCCAATGATAAACGTAGTAAAAAGAATTTGACAAGTATAAAAAAATGTATTTATTTTGTCTAACAAGAAATAATTTAAATCAAAATATAGCTAGAGAGATAGTCCTTTTAGAAGTTGATTAATTATACATTAAGAGGCCCCTTAAAAAAGTCAATTTTGGTCAAGCTTGTCGATTTTGTGATTTCTACCTGGATAGATAGAGTAAAGTGTGTACTTTCGAATGCACTATAGCTTATTGATTTTGTGGTGAGATTTAAGGATATAACATAAATCTTTCTGAACGTCCCATAGAAGAAAATAATGGTTTTTCTCAAAATAGGATTTTTAATTTTTATGTTTTCGTGCATTCCAGATTTCTCCGCTATTTTAAATGCTAGAAAGCTGGGTTTGGTGTCAAAATGAAGGCAAAAACTTGCTCTACAGCTTAACAGAGCCAAATTTTTCGATTTTCCCATTAATACTTATAAAAAACTCACTTTACTGGACCTATACCCCTTGGATTTTTCATACTTCATCAGAAGAGTTTTCTAAAAACATAAGCTAAGAGAAAATTGAAAAATCTGGCCCTG